TAGAACAGATCCTGTTCAAGTAAGGTCGTGCTCATTCCGTCTAACCTCAGCTCTTTATTTCGGTCATACAGATCTAAAACGTCCGGTGTGGGCACCTTTCCTCCCCCCAATCAATTAATTAAACATCCTTCTAAAAAGCCATATTCACTTCTGCTCCCATGTTACCCCAAAGCCCGCTCATCCATCATGTGCAATTGCATATTCGATCTCCTCTATGTCATCACATTCCCATATGATATGATTCTACACCTTTTAAATCCCAAACATTTATAATTTTTGTGCTTTTACTATCTATCTACTCCTCCCCCTCTTTCAAATTATTCCTCCTAGTTTAATTTTTGTACTAACTTTGTGTATAAATAATGAGATTAAAAATATTCATTTACTTGCGTTAATATAATTTTGATTTATCAAATTTTTATACATATTGTTTATTTAAAAATATATTTCAATTTTGCCAAAGTTAGCATAAAAACTACGATAAATGATCTGAGACCAAAAATGTTACGAAGATTCCTCTCCCTCTTCGAGTAATAAAGATGACAACCATCTCTGAATTTGTCCATACACAAACGATAATTGTTTGTAAACATTGCATTTGTACGTTCAGATACCACTATCGTGTATGTCGGTACAAACTACATGTTAGTTATGACCATGTTCATTTCATGGCTTTTAGAAGGACTTTCAACAGTTTTGACCAATCAAACCGCCAAAAAGAGCACTTGGCGTTTGAGGTTGGAGGTGGTAGTTTGAGTCTGAAAAGCCAAAATATGAAAATTTGTGGGGAGTAGCATTTCATAATATTCTTTATTTTTCCTTATATGTCATTTACTAACATGGAATATAAATTTTAAGAAAAAATATTCATTTACTTATAATTAAGAGTTAATAAGATTGGATTTGTTTTGTGGTATAATTTTGATGTATCAAATTTTTATAAATTTCATTTATTTAAAACTATATTTAAGTTTTTGCTAAAGTTAGCATAAAAGTCAAACTAATTCAAATAAGTTGAGGAGGTAGACTCTTTAAAAAATGACTGACTTGTTTTTAATCCAGGACCCGACCTGAAAAACATTAGGTGTTGAACAAATGTTTTGTGGATCGAACACGGAATGACCCACAAAAAATGGGTCAAACTCGATCAAGCCCGAATCCCACCCAGTTGACTTGCTAATGTAAAAACTTTCAAACTCATATACTTTTATATAAAATTATAAAAATTAGGTTTTCATACATCTCTAATTGATGTTAGAGTCATGCTAGGGTGCCCCAAATGGTTGCTACCATGAGTGCACTCATACTTTGCACAGATGATAATCATCTGTGGGGAGTGCATCAACCATTTAGGAGTATCCTAGCATTTTTCTTGAAGTTACACTGTTTTAGAGTGAGAAAGGATAGACATGATCTTTTGTTCAAGCTCAACATTTTGGGACAAAGTAAGTACTCCGTATATTTTAACCATTTACTTTATTTACAACAAAATGCTAAAACAATATTTAGAGTTAGAACTAAATTTTTGAATTTTTGTCAAGAAAATAGAACTAAATTTTTGAATTTTTAAATTTACCACCAATTAAAAAACAAGAAGAAAAATAGAAATAAAAGGTTAGAACCTGTCAGAATGCCAAGGAGCCATCCCAACCCCGTAGACGTTCCATAGAACTCAACTCATTTACAGTGTCATTTAGATATCGATCAACAAAAGTTATCAAGAAAATAAAACTAAATTTGTGTATGTTTGAATTTAGCACCAATTAAAAAATTTAACAAGAAGAAAAATAATAACAAAAAGTTAGAACTTGCCAGAAAGCGAAGGAGCCATCCAAACCCCATAGACATTCAATAGATCATGAGCTCTTCTAGTGAATCAGTTTATTCGCACCGAGGTTCAATAGAACTCGACTCATTTACATCGTGTCATTTAGATGTCGATCAACAAAATTTTTAGCACCAATTAAAAAAAGAAGAAAAATAAAAACAAGAAATTAATTAAGAACAAATTCAATTATTTGTGATGTATGATAAAATCAAAGAAAAAAATCACAAGAATACTTCAAGAAATGAGTGATTTTACTTTAATACTCCAAAATTCAACTTATTCTTGGAACAATTATTAGTCAAATAAAAATTTATAAATTTTGACCACAAAGATGATTAAAGTAATAATTATGAAACGTAGAACATGCCAAATATGGCATCCACATCAATCAATCAAATGTTAATATGTCTCAACATATTTGAAAAGGACATATTTTGTTCCACTACAGCTCTAATCAAAATTCAAAGTTACCAAGTTGTGATGTGAAGAGAAGTTGTCAATTGGAAATCTCCGTTGGCCACATTAACTAGTAAATGGGAACCAGTATGAAGGAATCGAGGAGGCAGCGATGGAATCCACGCAAAGAACCTTAGCCACCAGTCCTACCACCCATCCCTCGAGCGTATGTCTCACCCAGATGATTGGGGGCGTTTGGCGTTGCTTTTCATCCCAACTTTCGGTTCACATACATTGCCAATTCAGCTATAAAAAAAAGTCACTTTTACAGCATTTTAGTATGAGATAAATAATGGGCTAAATCCAAAAGGGCACATTAGACTTTTCATGCTTCTTACTTCTATGGTTCTATGAAATTTTGGCAGTAAATGCATCCAGCGTCTAGCGGAAACACCCTCTTTTCTTTTTACAGAGGTAATGTCAGACTATGCAATATGTTTTGATGCTCAAAGACTATGCCAGTAGTTGTGAAGTTCAAGGGTTATGGAGCTCAATCAGAGTAATCCACTTGCTTCCTGTTACGAGTTCTTTTCAACGTTGTGAGATGTGTATAATGCTATGCGTGCAAAGTAGGGTTTAAGACTTTCTATGGTATGTCAAATACCTGATTCAGTCTGCCCTCGATCTTCAATGAAAATTGAATTCTCTGTTCTGAAGCAAATAAAATCTAATCAACGTCACAGTGGTATAACATTTAGCAACATAGGAATTAAGGATCATCATATAAGAGAATCGTAGGCAGAAGAATGTAACTCTATACCCTAGGACCGACATTTAAAAAAATGATTTTTATCTTGAGTTCAGAAATGCCTATGCCTTTGAAAGAACATGTCAACATGCAACAATGCTGCATAGTCTAGCATCATGCCATCATCAACCAGCCACAAATGACAAAAATTCAATATATCCATGGGGTATCCCCGCAAGAAGAAATTTTCCTTCTTGATAAGAATTTAACGACGACTAAGCACTGACTTTTACATCAAAAATTGTGCGAATACCACCATTACAAACTTATTACCAAATTGCAACTTTTAAAGTTTGGTCAAGTAGAACTATCATGCATCATGGATCATGCTTGTCATTTGAAATTTTCTTTGTGGTTCAACTACATTTTTCATGACTCTTTGTACAAATTGCAGGAATAATTAGCTTGTTTTCAACAGAATGAAATCTTTTTCTTGGACAAATTTATGTTTGAAACAAGATTTTTTAAGCAAATATGAAGTATTATGTAAAGGGAAGTTGGTGAAACATACCCATTTCCTCCATTATTCAACGCGTGTAGTCTGTGTCAGACTTGGTTTTGTACTGACATTTTTTGCATGACTTTGCACTACTTTACGGGAGCCTTCACGAGAACATCTCTATTCCTTGGGGCAGATGTAAGGCTTGCATCCCCACCCCACAGACAACACAGATCTTACTTAGTGAGTTATGCCAGGTATGTTTGGTTTGGTATGTGTAGTCTGTCAGAGACTCTCAGCAACCATTTATAGATTAGAAATGGAAGAAGAATAGGGTAGGGAACTTCATATATGGAGGTGCAAAGATAACTCAATAAGGCTTTTCAAGTAGAAAGTGAAAGTTAAAACTTATCGTCAGGCACAAAGCCCCTTAGGAGCATTTCATTATGAAATATGAAAGCCTCCTTCAAGTTCTCCTGTGATACATGTCCATTTATCAATGACGTATATGTTGACCGGTCTGGATTTATGCCCCTCCCTATCATTTTCCTATACATCAAATTGGCTTCTTCCATTCTACCCACCCTACAAAATGCACCCAGAATGGCATTGTATGCTACCACATCAGGAAATATTCTCTTATTTTCCATTTCATAAAATAAGTTAAGCGCTCTGTCCAATCGTTCCTCCCTAATCAAACCATGTATTAGAGTATTATATGTAACTGAATCTGGAAACACTCCTTCAGAGTGCATCTTGTTTAGAAACTCCCATGCTTTCTCAGCATTACCATATCTGCAATATCCTTTAACAAGGGAGTTGCATGTGACAATGGTGGGCTTAATGCCTAAACCGACCATCTCTTCAAACAATCCCAATGCATTATAAATGCAACCCTTGTTGCAATAACCATTTATTAAAGTGCTATATGTAATACAATTAGGACATATGCTTTCAGAAATCATATGATCTCTTAGTTCAAAAGCCCTTTTCATATCACCAGCCTTGCAAAACCCATCAATCAAGGCATTATATGTTACGACATCGGGCTTGAGGTTTCTCTGAAGCATTGAATCGAACAGTGACATTGCCCTCTCCATATTACCATCCTTGCAATATCCATTCATAAGTGTTGTGAATGTGCAAAAATCTGGAAACACTCTCCTCTCAACCATCTCATTGAACATCAGATCAGCCTCGGAGAGCATCTTTTCTCTGCATAAGCCACTCAGAAAAGTATTGTAAGTAACTACATCCATGGGCAAACCTTGAGCTGACATTTCATCACGCATCTTCAAAGCTTCAGAAATGGAACGGTTTCTACAAAAGCCACCAATTAGAAGAGTATAAATCACATTATCTGGAACAATCCCCTTTAATTTCATATCCTTGAAATACTCTAATGAACGATCAAGACATCCGATTCTTGAAAACAACCCAATTAGTGAACTATAACTAAGCAAATCTGGAAGGACACCAAGACCAGCCATTTCGTTGAAAATTGCTTCAGACTCAGACACGTTACCTTTTCTACAACACTCGGCAAGCAATGCATTATAACAAGAAGAGCCAGGATTGAAACCACTAGCCACCATCTGGTTCAAAACAACCCTTGCCTTCTGATACTGTCCCTTCTTACATAGTCCTTTGACAATGGAATTATAGGTCAACAAACACGGTTTCAATCCCTTGAGGGACATCGCATTCATCAATTCAAAACCATCATCTAGAAGACCCTTACGACAATATGCACTAACCAGAGTGTTGTAAGTCACAATATCACCCAAAATCCCTTTTTCATCCATTTCATCAATAAACAACCTCGCATCTTCAATTTTCCCTACTTTACAAAAGGCATTAACCATTATATTGAGAGTATACACATTCACTGGAACGTCATTCCTGATCATTTCCCTGTACACTTCCCAGGCCAAATCAACCCATTCAATCCTGACTAGGCCTCCGAGAAGACTATTACAAGCATTTATAGTAACACAAAACCTTCTGCTCAGCAACAACCGAAACGCTTCTACGGCTTCCCTCAACTTCCTAGCCTGCACATAGGTCCTGATCAACAAATCAAAAGCATACAAATCCGATCCACAAATATTGTAAGCGCAGGCCATGGATTCAACTGTCTCGGCCCTAGAAACACCACTCTTTCGAACCATCCTCAGTATCAAAGCCTGCGCTTCAGAGATTCTCTGGCACCTGACCAGTATATGAACGGCGGCGCTGAGGGAGGTGGATGAATGCTTGAAATTGGGATTGTTTCTCGAAACCGAGTCGACAAATTTCGAAGCAAAAGGCAAATTATGGCGACATTTGCTAATAACATCAAGATAAACGGATGCGTTTAGGCTAAGAAACAGGGAGCTCCGAGAATGCATACCTCGTTTGAGAGTCAACATAATCTTCTCGGCAAGGAAGGTGTCGGCCGAGTTCGCAATTGAATCTGGGGATTCATTTGAGGGCTCCGAGAAGGGAAGATCAACTGAAGACGGTGGCGATGCCTTGAATAACGGCTTCGTTCGGCGGATGAGCGGCCTTTGAGCTGACATTGGGGAGGATGAGCGGCCTTTGAACTGCGCCTATCAGATCAGATCTTATTGAGAAGGCAAGGGTTGTTTTGAAGTGGCAGGCTTTGAATTCTAAATATCACAATATAAATGAGTTGAGTTCTATTGAATGTGAGGATAAATACATCATGGCAATCTTGTAATTAAAAAAACTACGCAGAGGGAGAGCTGGCAAAAAAATCAATATGAAAATGAATATTCTGTTAATTTAAAATGAATATTTGTTGGGTGTACCTAGTGTTAACTTAAAATCATTCCTTTCCATGAGCATTCAATGTTTTGTTTCCTATTATAAATTGTAGTTCATGCGTTTAGCTTCTCGCTTCTCGTTTTTGTTTACTGAGGTTTGATCGTGAAACTATTTTCAATTCAAATTATTTGATTATAAGTGTAAAATTTTAAATTAAATTTTACATATTTAAAAATTACATAAAAAATTTTACAAAACTAGATATAGTATGGTTATATTATTTCATCAAATAATTAATGAAAATATGAAAGGCAAGTAAATAGAGTTTAACTGGATGAATAGTATCTAGATATATAGTTTTAAAACAGAAAGAGTAACACTTTCTTTTTGATATTTTGAGTCAGAGGTCTCTTGAAAACATTCTTTTGAAAACAGTCTCTCTTCTCTTCTTTTCAGTAAGAGTAAGGTGTGCGTACAATCATACACACATCCAATAATACAAAAAAACTCTAAAATTCCTCATGACAAAGAAGAAAACCTTAAACCTAGAAAAAAAATCCAATAACACACAACCATAAACTAAACGTTTAAAATACATGTTTATTTAATTTTACACGGAATATGTTTTTTTAGTTCAAGTCATGAGGTTTCATGTCTCCGTCTGTCTTACGGTCAGAGTTCACCTGTTCACTCTAAGAGGAAAGGGAGCTTGTCCAAGGAGAATTGTCGCCTGTGAAGTATATTTCCTATTTGGCCCTTCATAGTTTCATGGTTTAACTCTCATATCCTTCACTTTTTGGATTCTTTTATTTTTCTTTTTGTTTTCTTTTTGTTTTCTTCTTTTTTTTAGCATGTACTTTCAAATTAAACTTCACTTTGTTTAGTGAGAGGGGTGCATGCTAATTTTCTTTATTTTATTTTTCATTTGTTTTGTTTTGTCATAAATAGAAATACTTTTCGAAAGTATTATAGAAAATAATTGAACGAATTATGGAAAGACGAACAAAAGAATATAGCATTCAAAAAAAACATAATTTCTAATAATCAATTTAAAATTTAATATAATTGATGGTCGAAATTTGCCGAGTTTTAGTCAAAAAAAGTCAAATTGGACGATACTCTGGGACAAAGGGAGTAATAAGCAAATTGATGATCAAACATGCACATGATGGAAACAAAAAAGAGGGAGACACCTGATCAGTTCTGTTTGGTTTCATTAATAGGCGAACTCAAAAGATTGTTTATGTGCAATAAGACAACTCGCTCATGGAAAACCAGTTCATTCAATCTAATACTAACAATCAGAAAGCGTACCGTCTTCTTCCTTGACTCCGAATGCCTTCGTTTGATTTGGTTCTTCATTTTCTCCCTTGACTCGGAATGTCTTCGTTTGCTTTGATTCGATGCTTCGTTTGGGTAAATTGCCATCTCTCGGAACCCCGAGAGCATTAGCAAACAATCTCTTTGCGGCTCCCATATGCTGCTCTTTGATCAAGTCTTCATTTCCCATCTTGCCCTCACTCTTTACTTCACTCAGAGTACCAAGACTTGTGTTGCCCATGGGCATTTTCGTCTCCGTCCCCTCTTCTTCCTTCACGCCATCCATGACTTCGCCTCCGCTAGACGGTCTGATCCGCTGACCGAGTGCATGACCTATCATTCTGCGGGCCACCTCAAGGTCTGTCTTTGGCCTCTCTGTCATACTTCCTGTCGCGTTTCCATCGGTTGAGAATATCCGCTGGCGTGCAGCAAGATATGCAGCTTCTTTCTCTTCAAGCGAAGTGAAAATGAATGCCTCTGGATTCCCTGCCTGTGGAGAGCCTGTAGTGAAATAAATGTAAAACGCATCAAGTTCTCAGCATTCCAAGATTCAGCTAACAAACAAGCTTTAACACCGTTTGGTTCAAGGAATAAAATAGTGAGGAGAATAAGGAAAGTTTGGAAGGAAATAAAATCTGCAAGGAAATAAAAAAGAGAGCCCTGCCAATTTCATAATATGAAACCGATCCATTTGAAGGAAGGCCTTAAGGTGCTCTGTCGGCCAGAAGTGGTTCTTACCCCCTACCCCTCATGTGGGTGACAGTCCATAGTCAATATTTGAAATTGTCACCCAAATTTGGGGGGGGGGGGGAGAGGAACCACTTTGGGGTCAAGCCATGTATATCGTAGGACCCTCAAATGGACTGGTCTCATAATATTTTCCGGGCCGAAATGAAACCCGAGTATACATTGCAACATAAACCATATATTCAAAAAAAAACCATTTTTACTTAGCTTTTTTTCATTTCCATACTATTTTCCAAGTTCAAAATGCAACCCAAGTATACACTGCCAATGGCAATGTTTTCTTGAGTGCTGTATTCGCCAAGACAAAAACATTATATAACCTGCACTTTCTTGCTTCCTTGGTAGTATTTCAAAATTCCATGGAGATAGCACTTCACCATATTCCCTTAGAACGTCTCTGACAAGGACGGAAGGGCTGCACTTTTAAAAATGTCAGAAAATGAGAGATAGTCAACAACAACAACAATAACAAGCCAGTTTGATACGAGAGTAGGGTCTGGGGAAGAAAACGAGATATGGTCATACTGAGAAATCTAAGGTTCACTCACTCCTGCACCCAAGACCAAGTTTGAAGCACTAGGAAGAACACAATTATATGAACCACTAAAGAAAATTTATTTAAAATTGAATTCAGTTAAGGGAGAAATCCAAGAAACAAAGACTATCAATTAGCAAGCATTATATAAGTTGGGGGTCGAGTTTTCACGTACATCGATGTCTCAGGGCATCGCTCCACAATTAAGTGCCGATCATCCCCTTCACCTTCTGAATGATGAGACAGTCTACCAAGAGAAGACAATAATGATTAGCACTAAACAAGGTAAATCAACATTGTCAGCATATGTGCATTTCATGCATATGGCCTAGCAAAAAGTAGCATGGTAAGTTGGTAACAGTTACCACTTACCCAAAAATATCAGAAAGCCGATGTATAAGATGGCGACAATATGGATCCATAGGTTTCAGCTCCAGCACCCCATTTGAACTGCATAACAATATTAGTTAGAAAGTTTTACAAAGACACTAACAGCACATCCTTCATTCTCTTTCTACACCTTGTATAAGTGCGAGAATGACAGTGAATAAACATACAGCCATACAGAAATATACTCAGATATGGTAGCCCTTTTTCATGGTTTAATGCAAGGTATAGCATTAGCTTGTCCTTTAAATACATTTCCATCATAGTGCAAAATAAAGAAATCACACCTTGTTGCCACAAATATAGAAAAATCTAGTGCTATAACCCCATCCGAGGTTTCAACTTTCAAATTGAAATTCTTCACAACTCCAGAAATGTTCTTCCTTAAATAGATATGGAGCACAATAAAGATGAACTCTGTAGGGAAATTTTCTCCCTTCCTTTCAAGTATAACTTTTAGGTTTCTATTTAAAGCATCTTCATGTAATTATCTGTCCTTCTAAGCTTTAACATTTTCTTCTTAATAAAGTTCCACTAAACTTCACAGATAATATTGTTTCGCTTTCTGATATTTAAATTAAATAAAAAAGTAAACAACTTATAGTTCACAGCTGATCTGCACTAAACCTCCATATAGTTTGCTTACCAACCTAGCATGCCAATTACTTAGTTAGAGGAATTATGTTTTTTTTGCATAAAGCTTCGTGTTAAACCAGTTAAAATTAGGCTATGCAATATAAAATGAATCAATATTTCAATCTATTAAATGCATATAACATGTCAGTCTCCGTCAAACTGCAATAGTCTAATTACACTAATGGTAAGATGCCTTTCCTTCTTGCAATAGGTCCCAAGTTCTAGACTTCTAGTTTCATTGGGTACAGCATATGCAGCCAAATTGACATGTCATTATAACAGGTAATGCACATTTGTTTAAGTGAAGTCAATATGGCTTAATGAAGTTAAATAGTGGTCATCCATCTCTGGTAATCCTTCTGTTCATAAAAACGTAAATACAAAATAATTAAGTCTGGCCCAAACCACAAATTTCCAAACATTGTGTACTCCTCATACAAATATGAAAAGTAATCACAAACATACCTCGTATCGTCCTGAAGAAAATTAATGAAGGCCTCTTCCATAGATAGAATAAGGTGCTTGCAAGAAAGATTGTCCTTAACAGTGAAAGCTAACTTCTCAACCTGCATTTATAGTTCCAAATTTAATAATAAAATGCTTCTTGCTCTTCAAGAGAAATTGGAAGCTAATGTCTCTGGATTCTCTACCTCTGTACCTAAGGCAAATAAAAACACATAAGTTCAGCATTCCGGATTTTTCAGCTTGAGATGAAAAATGAATGTGTTGCAGCATCAAAATGGAAGAGTTCTGAATCTCTTATCTCTTGTCATTGATTCCCTATTCACATTTTCTAAATGTACCCCACCATTGCAAAACGGAGAAAGCATTTGTCTTTTTGCAACTAAAGTATATGGGATGATGGTTCACGCTTAGAGTTCCTTTAATGTATGCATGTCTCATACTCTAAGAGTTGATGAAGACCCTATAGAAGCATGCCAGTGTGCAACAGTATATATTTTAAAACTATTCTAGAGACTTCTAGATCACAACAAGACGAAAAATCCCAACAACTCTTTCATATACAGTGCCAATGGAAAGAAACATGCCAGAGTATATATTACCAATATAAAAGACTAAAAAAAGACATTGTACCATCTTCATCTTCATCTTCATCTTCTTGATATTTAGACCGTTTATTCAGAAACTTCAGTTCACCATACTTCAATAGTAAATCTCTTACAAGGATAGAAGGGCTGCAAGTTAAATTCCTGTTAATGTCAGAAGGCTGAAATCCAAAAACAACCAACTGTTTTCAGTATTGGTTCCATATATGAAGCACCACAGAAGATTCAGCTTTGTTCCAACTTAGAATTGTCCGCCTAAAATTCAGGTGCTTTCACTGAAAGGCTTTCAGGATACAATTGGAATGAAAATCAACAAACAAAAATGTAACTAAAAGTAGGAACTTTTTTGTACTCCCTCCATCCGGAAATGATTTCATCAACACTATTCACACAGTCAAACTTTATTTACTTGGTTTGCTTATTTTCACTACTCATTTCATAATATAAATAGTCATGTCACCTCTTGTTTTGATTTTTGAAGAACTTTTTATATAGATTTTAAATATATACACTTTATTTTTGAATTTTACACCTACAATCAAATAAATTTAAATGAAAACAAAGTCAGTCAATCCTCGTCAACCGAAATGGGAAATTCAATTCCGGGCGGAGGGAATAACATTTTCCAGGCATTCATTGCATATTTGCATAAAAAGCTTTCAAAAACTGAGTATACCCAATTAAACTAAAGCATTGAAGTTTTGCATCTTTAAGGAATCGTTTTAGTATACGTATGCCACCTATATGCATCATCAATTACTTATATATTAGAAAAGGCCCAAAGTTCCCTTTAGAGTAGAGAAGGCATTACAATCCATATCCCTTCATCATTATGTCAAATATATTATACTCTATAATGTCTTAAACCAAGAAAAGTAAGATGAGATATAGTCACAAAAAATCATCTGAGTTTCAAGACTTAGTTTGAGGCATTGGGAGAGATTTAGTTGCATAGACTTGTAAAAGAACATAAGTTTATAATTCAAATTAGTTAGGAAGAACCAAATACTATATCTATTTGGAAGAAGTATATTATTAAGGGTTTAATTTTCACATACATCGATGTCTTAGGGCCTCGCTCCACAACTATGTGCCGATTATTTTCTTCACCTACTGAATGATGAGAAAACCTTGCAGGATAATACAATAATGATGTCTGTGAAACACGAACCAGGCTTAAAAGGGAACATTCATTATAATAGTTACCACTTACCCAAAAATATCAGCAAGCTGATGTGTAAGATGACGATGATATGAGTTCATTGGTTCCAACTCCAACACCTCTTTTGAACTGCATAACCATATTCATTAGGGTTCACTCCAAAGAATCTCAAATTGAATTCCATTACCACAAATGCTCCAAAACAAATTTCATAAGCAGAAAGTGTAAACTGTATATGCGAATTTCTAGCCTACCCTTCAGTTAACACTTTTAGACTTGCATTTAGGGCAGTCTCAATTTTACTACACATCATTAATTTCCCGTCTTTTAACAGTTTCCACTTCACTAAAAACTATGAAGCACAGGTGCGGGTGCACGACTAGTGCACGGGTGCGGAAATTTTCAAGAAAACAGGGTGCGGATGCGGCAAATTAGTTTATACATTTTTTATTTGTATTATTCATTTCTTTGTAAAATACATGTATTTATGTTCAAAATATTCACAAAATATATCAATTGTTCTAATTTTAAATAAATTTAACACATAACATCCCACAAAGTACCCAGTCGCACCCAAGTAAAAAAAATTATAGAAAACTACACAGCCGCACCCGCATGGTGCTTCGTGCGGCTGTTTTTTGAAGCACGCGTGCTTCATAGACTAAAAACAACATTAAAGGAAACAGATAATATAATTTTGCTTTCTAACAATAAAACTAACAGAATAGCATAAAACTAATAAAAGTGGTGGAGAGGATATATGCCAATTTTAAAATCCAACCTAACAGAATAGCATAGCATTTGGAGCATATGTGTTTTTTTCATCAGTCAAAGGCTCAAAGCTAGGCAAAAAAATTGGGATAGCCCTTACGTTAATCTATCGATTGCACAAAGCAAGCTAAGCTAAAACCAAATGCCCCAAAATACAATGTACATCTCATAACATATCAAATGTGGGGTACATGGGGTGAGACCAGAAAGCACCTCGTATTATCCTGAAGAAAATCAACAAAGGCATCTTCCACGGATAAGATAAGCTCCTTGTTATAAATATTTCCACAAACCAGGTGAGCTAATTCCTGAACCTGCACGTGTTTGGTTTCATCACCTTCATAAGTACTTATACAGGCCGAGGTAGACCTTAAAAACACATTTGAACAGTTTCTTTGAACTAAAATGCTACTCCCTTTTGCCTACGTTTTCGAAAACGTTTACACTTTCTCTTAATAAACTACTTTTACACCTACTAATTCGTACCATATCTATCACATCATGTTTTTTTCACTAACAATTTATCCATCAGATCCTACTTGTACTCATCACATCAAGGACAAAAATGTAAAGTCAACTACAAATATACACTCTTTATTTCTCTCATTAGTCAAAATAGGAACCGTTCTGGTAAACGGGGGGAATATGTTTTTTTCCCTAAGTATCGAAAATCAATTCAACCAAAAGCTTGAGCTTGCGATCGAAGGCATGTTTTAAACTGTAACACCTCGCTTCACTTCATATTTGTTTGTTCGAGCAGAGACTAATTATACTCCATAAATTTTTATAATTATTAGAGAAATTAGAGATCCTAAGCGATTGATCTTCTCGTAATGAGATTGTAGTATACAGGTACAGATACATATAGTGGCAGAAACAAGAAATTAGACGGCGGGAGAGAGAACTGACCATGGCGTACTCTGAGGAACTCATGGGACTTCTGAATTGGGCCAAGGATTGGAGGACTCGGGGTAGGGGTCTTCGGAATGCTTGCTTGTATAGGGAATGAAGTCGGGGTGTACGTGTACATAAATTTTTCATTACTTCTCCCTCAAATATTTGTACTTTTTCGAGTAAAAATTTATAAATTTTGATTATAAATTAAATAAAATTAATAATAGATATGAAAATAAAAACAATTTCATTAGATTTTTCTTCTAAAATATTTTTAAAATACTATTTTGTTTAAATCATAAAATATACCAGTATAAGTTTATTTAATTATATGTCAATGATTGATATCGATTGATGATAAAAAATCAAAAATAGACAAATATTCTGAAATTGAGAGAATATTTTGTTATTTTTATTAGAATCAGAATAAATCACCCTAAATATGACAAAAAAAATAGAGAATGTACCAAAATTGGTGTTCCATGCTTTTATTCTTTAAATAGGAGTTCGCGTTCTGGTAATGTAGCACTGTACATGTGCATTTTATGTAATGTATATAGTCATGATTGGTAATGTAACGCATTTTAACTTCTGTTTCGAGAATAAAAAGATGGAACTTCTGTTTTAATATAATTTCAATGTTATATTCCCATTTTAGTGGTTTTCCCTAGTTACGGATCATATAACTTTTAAAAATTTCAGATCAGATTTAATAAATTTAGTCAAAGAGAACATGTCTTTAATTTAAGTGTTTTTTAGCTTGAGCATTTAATTTAAACATTTTTCTAAAACTTTTTCAATGATTGTGTTTACTTTTAATTTTTCAAATAGAATATATGTCATTGAAAAACAATCTGATCGAAAGGCTATGGTGTTTGACTTCATCATTTTCTAAAAGCTATTTATGGACATCGTTTAGTTTTAACATTTTTAAATTTAATTTACATTATTTAAAAATAATCCAAAACACCTATATTTATTAATGGAAAATGGTATTTCCAAATAATGAACATCTAAGGTTCCAAAACTTCCAATGCTAAGCATTGTGTTTATAATTTATATCATTGCAAATTTTGTTTGTGTCACATGGACAAGTATTACATGTGTCACGTGCGAATTGTTTATGTGAAGTGTAAAAAATAAATGATTTTTCTATAAATTATGGGGGGGAATGAGTGATTTGATATTATGTGAACCACTTTTTGTGTAAAAAAAAAAGTATACACTTTGCATTTATGTACGGAGTATTATATTGTTTTGTTTTCATACAAAATGTTTTTGTGTCCCGTACTAATTATTAACAAATAACAAGTATGGGTTACATACGAGTTATTTTTGTAAATTAGTATAAAAATGAGGGATGTAAATTTTTATATGGAGTAATTTTGTGGTGTATGTATGGAGTAATTTTCTGGTATATGTTTAATGTCAGGTACTTTTTGAACTCCATCATTTCATTTTTTTATCAATTTCAATTTTCTTTCTCTTTTTTTCCTTGTGAGATTCGATTGTTGTTGTTGTTTTCTCTTTTTTCTTTAAAACAAAAACAAAAATAAATAGAAGAAATTTAATACTCCCTCCGTCCTGCTATATTCGTCCACTTTTGACTTTTGGAACTGTTCATCTAAGCACTTTGACTCATCAAATTCTCTCAATGTGTAAGCCTAAATATAGTCATGTGTAATCTTGTTTGATTTGTCTTAACATATAGATTATTAATATATAATTTTTATAATTTTTTAATATACAAATTACAAGATAAAATAGATTAAAAAAGTGCATTGAATGGTGTGTAAAAATGAAAGTGGGCAAATACTCTGAGACGGAAGGAGTATATCAAAATAGAAGGTAAAAGAACAACAAGTTATGCCGCTTGTCCTTTTTTAATACGAGTAATAAAATACTCCGTAAATCTTTTAAAAATTAGATTCATTGGATCATAGAACCATATATTGACACTTTTTTGCCACAAACTTTTTGAAACATTTTTTCATTTAATGACGCTCTTTCGCCACGAGCTCTTTGGGAACATCTTTGCACTTAAGATTTGTTTTGTGTTCCATGGCCCACACTTTTGTAAAGCACTTCAAACTTGGTTTCTTGCATGTGAGTAGTTTAATCTTTATGTTTCATGGATAGCCCATTCAAAAGAATTAAACTTGTTGTACACAAGGTTTACCCCAATGTGGAAACACAATATTTTACCTTGGTCTACAATAAATACAACTACAATCAGACCAGACCATACCAGATCAGAACCAATTAGATCAGGTGAAGAGAACAAGGCCTAAGAACATTGAGTGGTTGGAGCAGAATCTTTACTTAAACAAGTTGAAACGTCAACACCAACAAGTGACAAGTCTTTGCGCAGCACATCTGCATTCTTGAATTGAAAGCCTTTAAATCCAGCTTCAATGGCTGCTTCAACATTCCTTAGTCTGGCGAAGTATACAACTCTACATTATGCAATCTTGGAGTATTCGTGTAAACTCTCGGATTTATGGGAGTTTTGGCACGAATTTTTACTATAAAAAAATCCAAAAAAAACATGATATATTATCACCTGTCATCAACAAAAATGCAGCTGCCCGGCTCAATATTGAGATGTTTCAGAACATCCAAGTACAAATTAAGGTCAGGCTTCCGCTTTCCTGTATTCGGCAAAAAAGGAAAGAAAAATAAGGAAAAGTTTATTATGTTTAAATATGGAAAAGAAAAATAATGTTGTTGGGAATTCACTTCGATAAAACTAAAGAGAGATAAATGAGTTCATAAATAATTGAGTTAAAATAGCTAATCGATTACGGAGTATATATCTGTGTGACATTTGGCCCATATTCACTGGGATACAATTAACCCTCACCCAATTATAGATTACATCAATAAAAAAGGGAAAAAAACTATAACTAGGGCATTTTCAATGAATTTAGGCTAGCGAGTAGTATTTATGTGGTCCCTGTTAAGAACAAAAGCACACACACGAATATAAAGCAAGAAAGCGATAAAGAACACGAGATTTAACGTGGTTCGGTCTAATCTGACCTACATCCACAGGGGCAACTAGGGTTTGTATTATTGAGTGATGATGATTACAAGTACAGGAGATCGTATATATAGACAACTAATTAGGGTTTAACCCTTGCTGGACAAGTTATAGCAAACTGGGCTTAAAACCATTTGGGCCGGCCGAAACCCTAATCTGGTCTCCTAACTCTCAGTTGTCTACAAGTGGGCCACTTTGGGCCGATGACTGCACATCACCAACA